CATAATATTTTACTTGAGGGAAAATCTGTTAACTGGACAAACACGATAACCTACCTAGGTGTAGCACTCGACTCAAAGTTAAATTTTGGCACACACATAAACAATCTTGTGGGCAATGGCAAAACGGCAATACGATTAATTGTTCCTTTGCTCAGGAGAGAGTCTGTAATAACGGTGTCCAATAAATTATCAATAATTAAGAACATAAGCCGATGTTGCTATACGCGTGTCCAGCATGGAATTCCAGTAGCCAAACAAACATTAATAAGGCACAAGTAATAAAAAAAAAATTTTGCGGCCGGCCACCGCCACTGCCAGAAATTTAAGACAGACTGAGTTGCATGACAATATAAACATGAAATGGATAAAAGAGGAAGAAGCCAAAGAATTTTTTAGGTGTATCGGGGGGGGGGGGACTCCACACATCCGATATGCATTGGGGCTTATCTCACTCAGCTAAATGGAAACACACGCGAATTATGGCGAAGCATTATGAAACACAGGCGAAGCATATGTACCTGAACTTTAATCTAGTCCAGTTAGAAATAGAAATTGCCTGTCATAAAAATATCTATTTGTTCATTTAATACTTTTTAAAAGGATAGTTCCTACTCACAGTAAGTTATTTTGCAACGTCCGGATTTCGAGCCTTTTAGCTCATCATCAGGTTGAAGGACTGCCACAACCACGTCTCTCGACATGAATTGCCAAAGTGAACCGCTGATACCTCCGCCAACGCGACGTTCCAATTANTATATATATACCTATTTATTTATACGTTAGGTTAAATCCTTCTGTTTTGTGTTTTTTGCACACATTTTTTCCAACGATACAAATCTTGCATGCGAAATAACTTTTCTGTGTATATTTAAATCGTATTGTAATAGGAAGTTAGAGTGCTATGTCACTTTCCCTATGCTCTATTGTTATATGTATTATACTGAAATCATGTAAATAAATATTCACTCATTCATTCACTTAAGAATAGTAAACATGAAGACTCACTCATTTTGTAAACAAACAACTTTTCTCGTCTTTTCTCTATTTTAATCCAGTTGCATTCTCTTTAATCTTGAAAAGACATCATCTTGAACCGTAAGTTCACAATATTATTGAGAATGAGCCATTGAAATCACCTGCAGGTGGATATCGCAGAAGCAGTTGGCGTTTCTCAGAACGTGATCTCCCGAGCTTAAGCCCGGTTCCGAGAGACTGGAAGTGCCAATAGGAGGCCTGGTAGTGGTTCTCAGCGCATTACGATGCTAAGGGAGGACAGAGATATTGTCATTGCTGCAAGGCGGAACCCTTTCCATAGGGCCCGCCAGACCCTAAATGAAGTAAAAGATGTTTTGGCAAGGCCTTTACCAACATAAGCGATTGTGGGAAGTTTGCCTCACATAGTCTGCCCCTTTGAGACGACCTGCAGCAACTCAGGAGAATATGGTGTAGCGAGCGCCTAGAAGAGAACACTAATGGGAATGCTCTTATTTTTAGTGATAAGTCGCGTTTCTGTCTGTGTAGTGACAGCATGCGCCGAAGAGTCTACCGAGTACAGGGGATGCGTTCATGCCCCAGTTCGTGATCCCTTCAGTGCAGTTTGGAGAAGGCGGTGAAACGGTCTGGGCTGGGATTATTCTTATTCTATTAATTTTAATTAAATTAACCGATATATTCGTGTTGATGATGAAAAAGTTAATGCAAAGGGAGACTATTTTGAGTGTGCCCGCCTTCTTACCATTAATTAACCAAGGGCCACATTATCTGCAAAAGCTTGTTACGAAACAAATTGATAGATTTTAGGAGAATAGCGTAAATCCATTCCACACTGGAGGGCGAACTGGGCACCCTCACCGCAGTCCGTTATGTCCAAGAAATTATCGAGGAATACGTCCTCAAATCAGGGATCTCATTGGCAGGGATTTTCGATTTCTGGATGACAATGCCAGACCTCATAGAGGCCGAGTTGTTCATCAATGTTTAGAAAACCTGAGAATTCCCCCATTGTCTCCAGACCTCAATCCCATGGAGCACATGTGGGATGCGTTTAGCTACAACAACTGAGTGCAACGTCGCAAAATCTATGGAGTGAAATTACTTACGAAATTAGTCATAATCTTATCAACAGTATGCCTAACAGGTCCACAGAGGTTTTAGCTAACAGAGCACATTATACACGATATTAATTGTTTAAAAAAATTATTTTGTCTAATAAACAGAATTATGGAATTAAAACCTTTTATTTTGTTATTTTTGAAAATCCCTTAATTAAATTTTCCTTCAGTAAAAAACAATAATTTCTAATAAATTTTAATGCAATCGAAAAAAAAAATGCTAGAGAAAGTAAATACTACAAAATTGGCAATATCCTCACGCCTTTTTGAGCAGTTTATTTAATAGTGTTAATAATAGTTTTCTGCACTGTCCTCGTTATCTATTGCGGTGAGGGCATAATAGTCAGTAGGATGATGGAATCCCCCCCACATAAATACATTTCTATCTCTTATACAGACAATTTCGTGTGTCATTTCGTTCATCCCTTTCCCTACGAAGAGTCATTGCTCCCGGAGTTCCTCAAAGTTCTAACCTTGGACCCATCCTTTTCTTAGTTTATATCAACAAAATACCTCGCCCAAAGAAGTTATAAATCTCTACTCTTTCTCTTGGAGGAAAAATAATATCGAACAGTTTAGAAAATGCAATGCGCTGCATAGGAAGTTTCTGCAGCCGTTGAAAAATTAAAATTAATCAAAATAAAACAGGCAGTAGTTTGCGGTGGGACCGTTGCAATATAAAAATATCCAAATTGAAGGTGTAACAATCGTGCTCTGAGTCAATCAAATATCTTGGGGTAATATTGGATCGTAAACTCACTTTTACACGCCATGTTAATGATAATCATTAAAGATTCCCTCTGCTCTGTCGCCGGCCAATAAACATGTCCTGTAGGACGTGGTGGTCAGGACGATGCTAATGTATGCCTACCATCCATCTCCTATGTCCAGCTGTAAAGGTTAGTTGGCGAGAGTCAGAGTTATAAGGAGTGAGAGAAAAGACGTTTGCCAGTTCCAGCATCCACTGTGGGCGAAATATCGTGAGACTACACTGACTATGCACCAGGCACCAAGTACAAGTATCAAATGAAGTCTGAACAGGATCGTTATCTTTGTGCGTTGTCAAAGCGTAATACAGCATTTTACTTATGATATACAATTCATTTTCTACGTCCAGTTGTAAAATATAGTCACTAGGTAGCATGACGTCAGGATATAAGCAAGGAGAGGTAAAACTATCGGTTTCAGTTCCAATTTTTCATCCATTGTGGATGCAGTACGGTGGGAAAACACACTGACTGTGTATCTAGCATCAGTGTGCTTACGCTGAATGAGAATTACACAGGAGCGTAATCTCGTCTTGCAGCATGCTTTATTTCTTCTGTTCAAAGCGAAATAAAGCATTAAAGCACTTGATATTCCATCCGCATACATTTTCCTTTTCTCTGTCGTTAGTCTAGTCTGTAGCCAACCAAAAACCTCTGTACAAGGTGGTGGTCCGGCCGAAGCTACTCTATGCCTGTACCATCCATCTCCTATAGAAATAGAAATGATAAAGATGGGGTGAAAAAAATATCCATCTCCTAACCTATGTTCAGCTGTAAAATGTAGTCGGTAGGTGGTGTGAAGTCACGGGTATGAGCAAAGAGAAGTAAGACGCTAACTTAAATATTTTTTCCTGTGTTAATAGGAAATGTCTCGTTGAAACATCGTTTTATTCCGGTCAATTAATTCTGACTTCAATCTAATCTGTCGAGTATAATTAGAGTCAACTAGGATATTTTTTCTCAATATATTTTATTTATTAAAACTAGCGTAATGCGACCATTAAACTGACTAATAAACATAAATAATAAAGTCATTTAAGTACACTATTTAGTGTCATAGTTTAACTGGCTGATTCGTCCTTTTACATTGTATACTAACTCAAACGGTTCGGTCTTGTTCAGTCGAACTGCAATGTGCTTCGCTGGTCCTGAAGTCCTAGTGCTTATATAGAACAAATGTAAATAACGAAATATTAACTTGGTCCTCATGACCTTAGGATTCAAAATACTTAGGGTTAATAGTATTTTCTCTAAAATCATCGTTTCGGTATTGAAGAAAATTATCACGGACAGACTTTCGTAAGTTTACGGTCTTGGCAGGATACGCCGTACATGAGTTTTTTTAATTTGAGGCTTAGGGTGGGATTTGAAGCATCGGAATGTTGTCTTTAATCCACTAGTAGGCTATCGAGTGTTTCACTATCACCCATTACCGAGTTCCCATAATCCTGCGTACTGTAAAGGGTGGCTTTTGACAAACTAATCTTTTGAGTCGAATCGATGTAAAAAAATGCCCGTAAATTTATTAACCATTCCCGGAGAGTAGTTGTTCTTTCCTGGCTTCTTATGTAATCCGGTAGATTGAAATAAAATCAACACAAAATGCAAAGTCATCCGAGTCATTTATGGATTTAAACCAAGAGCCGTGCGAGTAAAATACAGTGTTACGCCCCCCACGTGGAGAAGCCGACATCTGGTAAACACCTTTGCTTTTACTTCACCACTCGATGTCTGATTTTTTTAAACAACAATTTCCGTCTTATTTTTGTGGGAATTTCATACAGTTATGATTTCGACGGGGAATAATTTTTGAAAACGCTTACTTTTTACTTGATTTGATGATGGTTGTTGGTCTGTGGGTCGGTGAACTTATGGTGAACCGGCATAGGGCCAATTATTGAGTCCGTCTTCCCTCATGGGTTTGTTGAAATACTCAAACTCGTTTCGGCATTGCACCATCTTCAGTGAGGAACTTTTACTGAAAAGAGAGGTCTTGATAGTAAAATGTCAATTCCCTGCTGTCAGTCTTAAAATTAGGAAAGTAAGTCAGTAGTGTGTTAGTCAAAAAAAACAAAAAAACTATTTCAAAAGTTTTGCTAATGTGCTCTAATTTTCTTTTCAGATTGCTACATCGGAGGCTTTCATGAAACTTAAAGCGTGTGGACGTTTATATTTGGTAAGATTTAACAAAGTACAGCTAGCTACCTAAGTATACTTGGTTTTCATACTGAAACGGCATTGAGTCCGTCATCGCCAGCGGTTCGTTGACCTATTCAAACGCGTTTCTGCATCGCGTCATCGTCAGTGAGAAACTAGCTAATTTGCCAATTGCACAGTCATGAGTTCATTGCTCAAGTACAATGCCATATGCAAAGTTGAATGCTTCCGAAAATAAGCAGGAACCAGAAGGATCTGCCGACTACCAACGTCAATCTTCATATACCACTCAGCTTGAGAACATTCTTGTCATTCTCGCCAAATAACTACCTTTTTCCTAGAATATCCATTTGGAGACGTACAACTCATAGCCACATATTTCTTGCCATACCTCCTCAAAACTTATTGGATTAGCATCTTCCATCACACAGATTGTACAATTGCTTAGTAGGATCCTTTCCAAAAGCTGCTGATGCACATCTCGGATCTGAATCATCGTCCCAACGTGTGAAATTCATACAAAAAAGGCAAATTAGTCGACTTTGATAGTCTATTTCAACATCCCCAACCAGCCGGGCAAGTTTGTTATGTGTACGCTACCAGCTCGTCCGGTGGTAAGACGAGTAATATTTGCCAACCGACAATTTTAGGAAGAACGGTCATATATCCAAATTCCCCCTCCCCAAAAAAAAATTAAAACAAGAATTTTATCAGAAAAAGGTGGAAATCATTCGGACAATTTTATGAAGAACGGACAGTTTTACAAATATTCTAACCCGGCCTACATAGCGGGATAGTTACAAAAAAAAGCCAACAACGAATCAAAAATCAACAGACGCATTTTATCAGAAAAAGATGGAATTCGTCGGACAATTTTGGGAAGTATGGACTTTTTTTCACATTTTCTAAATACAGTTCTAGATCCGACGAAAATATTTGTTTAATTATTGTTTTTATTTTATTTTACATTTATCGGTCCGTAATGCCCTAATGTGGCGTGAGGAATTTGCTTATCTGTCTAAATAATTTTATCATTTATCGTTATCTTAAATCGATGTTACGGTTTGATAAAATTGGCAAGGTCGATCGGTTACCCTTAAAATTGAGAGATGGAAAGAGAGAGAGAGAGAGAGAGAGAGAGAGAGAGAGTNTCTCTCTCTCTCTCTCTCTCTCTCTCTCTCTCTCTCTCTCTCTCTCTCGTTAGTGAGCGGGTGGGAACGGAGGGAGCTTATACAAATACTTTGTGTCCAGTGTGAAGAGTTATTGCTCTAATATCGCTCCTTTGCACGTCTCAGTTTTCGTTACAGCTATCCCGGTAATGAACATTTTCGACAGAATTACCCCTTGTCTACGTCATTATTTTTTAAATTGAAAATGAAAGAATAATCGACTCTTCTAAGGACAGATATACTCGGTTGCTGTAAATAAACGCACATTCTATAAATATATTTCTTCTCTATAACTAAATGAATTAACGTTATCTATTTTCGTTGTGTCTTCAATCCACATCGTCCCTTTAAATTTAAATTCAAAATTTCGGTATAAAATAATTTGAATTAAAAATACGAATTTTTTTTGTAAATAATTCAAATTTACATTTCCTCCTTAGCGGAAACTGGGTAGGAGATAAGGATGAATGAGGTGACCATAAAATTTTCTGCACCTTGACTTGAGTTAGATTTATTGTACTCATTGCTCTAGTGACACTGAGGTAAGCTTGTCTTTCTGTGCCACTTAATAGTCTGATCTTCTTAGCATGCAAAGTTTTGGTTCATCACACCACCGACCTACTGTTCACGGGACACCACAGTGTATAAGTACACATCTTATATGTACAATAAGTTCATTAATCCCACATCATTTCTAAAAGTAAAATTTTTATTCAAATTAATCGATGAAAATAGCCTGTTTTGATAGGAAAACTAACAACGAAAGAGGAATATCGAGGCATGGATTTAGTTATGTCATGTTAAAAATAGCCATGTTCCTCAAAACTGTATTAACCACTTAATCTAGTGTAATTACTTTGTTGAGTATTTTTTTAAATCTAATTTATATCCATGTACATTAGGTTCTGTTGTCCGTATGAATTGAGATGGGATTGGCTTAACAGGCTTTGTGAGACGTTGTGACTTTTGGATAACTTCTTTAAGATGGATTGCTACTACATCGTGATAATGGATGTTGTGGTTTGGACGAGTGTGCGCTGGGAACGGTTCAGCCTTCTATGAAGTTGGTATTCAGCGGTCGATGATGTTGAAATACTCGAGACTGCATGCCAGAAATTGTACACCACCTTTTGTGGAATCTAGAAAAATCAAGGGTTCATATGCCACCGAAAGCCTTCAATCTATCCAAGATTCTAGTGTTTCGCGTGTTCCAAAAACCGTCGATATTTACAGATTTTTGTTACGATGCTCCTAGGAGATACACCGTTTCGAAAAACTTGGTGGGACAATAGAGCTTTTTTTCGTTCTACAAGAACATCTTGAGTTTATCAAGTTTATCAGCTGGTGCGAAACGCGGAGGTCAAGAGTAAGTGATGAAAATATACACATTGTCTTCAGCTCTACTGTTCGTCAATAACAAGTACCCACCAACGTCCGCTCAAGTTAGATACTTAGTACTATATTTAGACAGCAGACTGATGTTGATTCCCATCACAGCGACAATACTTGGACAACAACGAAGATTTCTAGGACCGAAATCTGTTTTGACCGAAAGACGTCAATTAAATATAAACAAGTCAATACTGCGACCACTTTGGAAATTAGGATATAGCGCCAAGCCATCCAACATCCGAGAAACCTTGAGCTTATCGAAGCCCTCCACTTTACATCAACAATAAATCTACTTAGGAACACACCTAGCCAGACGTGAAATCCCCACACAAGACTTAAGAGACAACTTAGAAGATTTGGGCAATTAGTAAGATTTTTAGGGCAGAAATCCTTTTTGAAACTCAAAAGTCATAACTTAACTAATAAACAAGACATATAGTGACCACTTTGGACGTTAGGAGTAGCGCCAAGCCATCTTGCATCCAGAGGGTCCAATCTTAACAATCTAAAGTCCCCATACTATCTACAACGACCTGAATAATCATTTTGTCTACGAACTCCTAAAGTTCCACACAAAGCCCTCGATCCTTCATAACCCTACTGCACCAGCCCTGTCAACATTTTAAACTACAATGGTTTCGAGACTTCCTCGCCCCCTACCTTTATTGAATGCTAACGTTGGATGGTTACTCTTAACTTGTGTCCTCCGGGTGGAGTGTTGGTCATAGTGTCATTGTTTTAACAGGAAGAAAAAACCATATACTCACATATTTGTAATATGTATTAAGGTGTACAGGCTACAAATAACACATTATAAAGAAAAATATGGCATTCTTCCATTAGCTAATACCTCATCCTAAATAAAATCATGTGTTCGATAGATACTTGCACGTATCGGAACATCCTTCTCCGCAATCTACCATGCCGAATGGCGTGTTCCGCAAGGCAGCATCATCATATTCTGTATGGGTACCTTAAAAAACTCTCCGAAATATCAAATCTATGGAAAATCCGGTGTTGCCGGTGGTCCGCTGAGGTCCGGTGTCGGTGAGATTTTGGATGGGTTTCGCAGTCATCGTCAATTTAGGTTATCTGCGTGCAAGGTTTGCATTGCGCATTTGTCATAAAAATAGCCTGTGAAGCTGTTATTTTATTCCCCAACGAACCCCCAGTGGATTCGGTGAGACACACCTGTCGTCTTTCATTGGATGAGAGATCGATTAGATTTTGACTCCCTCATTCAGTATGAACTGCAGACATCTCTATCTATCCCAATTAAGTATAGCTCACACTTGAAAACACACAAATGTGCGAAATAGCAGGTCAGTTAGTCCTGAGCGTTATAACGCAACAGCCCGATAAGAGTCGTGCATTGATTAACTAGAAAAAAACGAGTCAACGTTCTTTCTGTTTGCTGTTGAAAAAAAGTTGGCTTAAATAGAAGCTGGCGACTAGCCTCGGCCTGCTTATATCCATGATTATATCTTTTATTTACTACTGTATCCTGTTACTTGAATAGTTGTCGTTTGATTCAGGCAATATGATGCCTGGTCTAGTATGACTAGTCATGCTTATATCCCAGTCCTCGCGTCATATGTCTATCTAACATATACTTAAGTATATATATGTTCTTACCGGTCGATTGATAATTGTTTAAAGGATTTGAAAACCACCAATTTTTGACCAATGCATCAACCACTAAATTTAAATGCTTGTTGAAAGGTAGATAAAATTATTATTGAGAGCTTTTTTATTGGGGGGGGGGAGATAAAATAAAAACTTCCATTAAACATAAATACATAATTTAAATNTTCAACTGAGATCCGAATTAAATATAAATTCACTAGAATCTAGACGATCAATGTCTGATGCTCTAATATTGTTCAAAATAATTAACAATATAATTAAATGCCCCTCTCTACTAGAAGAGATAATATTTCATGTGCTTGCCTATAGAAATAGACAAACAGAGTTTTTTTTATACAGCACACCATAAAAACAACGGACCACGAAAACTAGTGAATTTAGTATGACTACATTACAAACCTCATAATAGAGGCATTTACAAACATAACAAATACATTATAAATAGTATAATCAGACCTGAATGTATACGTGATTTCCTTATTATTTCTTGATCCAATTGTTGGGCATATACAAAATAATATAATTTGTTATTTGGCTAATGATGTTAAACAAACTATTATTTTATCCTTTTCATCAAACGAGTACGCTTTAAAAAGTTGTTACCGGTGGTTATATCGCTCTTTGAAAATCATGTTCTGAGTGTTTTAGTTTGTCGGGACCAGCTAAGAGCAAAATCGGACGTCGAAATGTCATATCTAGGCGGCATTGGGCTAATGCAGATTCTGGTCGTGTCTGGTAACTGGGCTAAGTGCATCTTGTAGTTGTCACGCTTTTCATGTCGACAGGGACACAGCTGTCCTCACTAATGTTC